CAACAACAACAACAACAACAACAACAACAACAACAACAACAACAACACAGAAGCAGCACCCAAAAAATAATAACAAAAATACAATAACACACAGAAGCAGCACCCAAAAAATAATAACAAAAATACAATAACACTATAGGTTCAGTCACCTGTAGAAGTTTGCTAGTATAGACGCCCAGAGAAGCTACCAGAAGCCTGTTCCCGGACCCATGGGGCCCCCAAACCGCTCTTTCGGTTGGCATAGAACTTGGTGAGGGCTAATCGAAGTCGCGCCTACAAACACGGGCGGCACGACTGGGTGCTGTGTGATCTCATGCAATCCGTCTAGAGTCTACTGTACGTACAGGGAGGGGTTCTCAAGACTCCAGAGTTTCTACATGCTTCTCTCGCTCGCCTCACTTAGCCTCCAAGCACAACGCCTGGTTGTAACCTCTTCAAAAGGAATTCGCAGCTGTTGTCCAACATTGTCCAACCAATGCTTGATGCCTCAGCAAAATGACCCAATTCTGTCTTTTGAAGGTTGGACCATCTTGGGACCATATGCCAGGCGCCTCAGCACCGTGCAGTGCGTCCCAGCTTTGGGGATCGAATGCCACATGTGCTGCGATCGATTATTCTCACCTTCTAATTCTACGAACCCCATCTTTTGAACAATAACTCCTGCAGTCGAATCGCCTGAGGGGTCAACCACTAGTTGGATTATGTTGGAATCACCTCGGGCCGCGGGAAACTCTTTCACTCAGAGCTGGTATTATTGAAGAAGTCCAGAACACCAACAAGTGAGTGTTGTTGAACAATCATTCATACACAAAGCCTTTAGCCTGGCATTTAGGACCTCCGAGCCTCAACAAACACAAGATAACATCAACATCTGGGCACCCCATCGAAGTCAATGCAAGTCATGTCCCATTCGAGCCCCACGAACAGCCGCGCACCCCCACTGCAGCAGCATCTTTCACTGCGCCATCGAGGAATGATCGCAGACCGAATTGAACAGCCGCGACCAGTGGGATATGAGGGAATGGGGGAGGCCCAATGTAGACATAACAGAAACAAGAAGCAACAAAGCAAGAGACACTACAAGGAGCAAAATATTGAGCTTCATCATGAAGAACTTACATACAAAGTCATATAGCTCATCCGAACAAAGTTTGAAGGGGTATCCTAAGTTCATCTATATATATATATATTTGTAGCACCTAAGGCATATGAAAGCTTTTCTCCGGTTCCCCACATCTTCTCCGCTGATCGCAACAGGTCAATCCTGTGCGGCCTGACTTCGCATTTCCTTCCTTGGTCCAGGGCGTGAGCAACGGATCCCTCAACCTCCACGGCGTGCGGAAGGGGAGAAGCGGTCGACAGCGAAGCTCCACAAATAAGTCGTATACTTATAGCTATATATGGACTGCTTAGTTGTATGAGAACAACAAAGAACAATAGACATGTTTATTAAGTATAATGCAAATGGACTGCTTAACGGTATAACGTCTCATTGCAGCCCATTGCAACCCTCTAAGTCTCATCTTCATGAGTAAAGCATGCTAAAGCCTGGCAGCCTGGGCCATGAACTGAACACTTGATCCCCTCATGTCTCGCTCGTGTCCTCCCCACCAAGTCTCATCTTCGTGGCCACGTAGTCCCCGCACGTGATCTTCCCATACTTCTTCGGTCGCTCCGCCGACACGCAGGTCTCGAGGCCGTCCACCTCCGCCGCCTCCGGCCAGCACGCGGCACGGAGGACCGGGCGCGACCCTGCGGTTTTCGGGCCCTGGGAATATTCTTCAGTTGACACATCAAAGAAACCTTAGTACAAACCATTCATTTACATATAATGCAAATATATGCAAATATTTTGATACGATTGATATGATTATGCGTGCATATAGCTATATATATATGTATATATATTATATGTGAACATGCCCAGATTGGATGGTTCATTGAACTTTTAGTCTAAAATGCCTTCGAACTAGTGCTGTAGGAAACGACACAAGCTCGCAGCTGGCACGTTTTGGTGTTGTTCCTTTCTTTCGACGTACCTATCAAATTTAAACAATCACTATCAGTTCAATATCATCCATTCGGAGATGCTTGGAGGCAATATATGAGCTTGGAAATTTCTTCAATTGGGGTATCCCGATATCCTGATTTGTCACCGTAAATGGTCAAAGAAAGCAAGACATAGAGAGATTGCTACGGGCTTAGTTTATATAGTAGGCAAATCTGCTGCCCGAAAAAACAAAGCACCACTCTTGCAAAGCGTGGTCTCCATTCGTGAGCTTCATCTGATCTCCACTCTTCGTGCCTCGTCCATGTTGTTAAAGAACCTGGGTGCACATTGCTCTCCGCCAGAAGGGTTGGGAGATCCATCTCAGGGCGAAACTCATGCGGGGTCCTTGACGTGGAGCCACATTTCATGAAATCTTGCGAGGCTAGAGATATAGTTCACCATTGAACTATCATCCTATAAACCTCTTCAGCTAGAAGTGGTATACATATAATGAGCAAGTGGTATACCAAGTGTGGGGTATGAAAACAAAGTTTAAGCACTTGACACATTTTCTAGACAGTGTTATGTACGTTAATGAAAGACCTTGCAAATGGCACATGTTGGGTACATTGGAGAGTCTACACTTGGTTGCTTCAATGCAAACAACTGACAAGTAACATTGCCAACAGGTGGCTTCCCAACTGAGGCTAATGGTTGATCACTTACAGGTTTGAAATCACTAATTCACAAGCAGGTAATGCCCCAGCCATGCAACATGCCATGGCCTATGGGGGGCAGGCATGTTGAAATTGTAGCTTTCTAGACTCATGACTTTTAAGTGTCTTAGAGGAGCCTCCTAAAATTTAGCCAACCTTGAAAAGGAGGCTCCTTTAATTTTAGTTATGTATGCTGGGGCCTGCTTCCAGCAAAAAGAACTGGTAACAGTAATGTGGCTGAGGCTGCAGGGGGGAAGATTGGGCCTGGGCACGCAATCAGAAGCCTTATTACAAACTCAAATGTATTGTGTAAAGCAGGCCCTGGATGTAACACTTTAGCTGCTTCATGGCCAGTGCAAGTGCTTGAGACCAGCATACTCCAACATGTGGTGTTGAATTGGATGGTTGAGGTGTCTTTGCACAAGGTCAGGCAACACTTTCCCAAATCAACTTTTATAGGGCTGGTAGCATCACCAAAGCAGAAACACACATGAATTACCCTAGGTTGCAGCACATGTAAGCTTTGATGTTGCAAGACATCACTGGGTAGAAACACATAGTGACATACTAACTAGTGGAAATTGTTCTAA